GTAGCAGTAGCAGTAGCAGTTGTAGCAGCAGTAGCAGCCGTAATAAGGTAGTTGATGTGCCCAAAAATACGTCGATCCATCCTGCTGCTTCGACCGCAGCTGCTAGAAGCGCCTCCAACCATCTCGGAGTCTCGTGCAGTTTCAACCGGCAGCATGGAAAAACCAAAGCGAAGTTGTCAAGATGCAAAGACTTGGGGAGTCAGGAAGGTATGTTGATAGTTTAACCGTATCAGACACATCACACGTCCTGTGGCGCGCCATGACGATCCGAATCGCCGTCGTCCTCATGAGTGGGCGGAAAGCAGACTTGGATGTGACACCAGGCTGCTCTGTGGAAGAGCTCAGGATAAGAGCACAGCAGATGCTCGGGGTCCGCGGGAGACTTCTCAGTGCATCTGGCACTTCCTTGCATGGAGACTTCACCGTTCAGCAGGCCGGGTTGCGGAGCGGCGATTGGCTGACCTTGCACACACGGCCGTTACTCTTGTCGGCCACCTCTGCAGCAGTGGCAGCTGTCCTTAGTGATGGCTCAGTCGTCACATGGGGTGAGTCGGACATGGGGGGCGACAGCGGTGTAGTGCCACTCGATGACGTGCGGCACATCGCGGCCACACAGTCTGCCTTCGCCGTCATCCGGGACGACGGCTCTGTCGTGACCTGGGGACGTCCGCGCTGGGGTGGGGACAGCAGCGCCGTGGTCGAGCGATTGAAGGACTGGGTTCTTGTTAGGGAATTTAATTTAAGTTACCATAAAAAGGAAACCATATTATTTACTTTAGGCCCCTATTATGGTAACTGAAATAAAATCCTTTAACAAGAACCCAGAGGATGTGCAGCAGATTCGCTCCACTGCTGGCGCTTTTGCGGCGCTGCTGAGAAGTGGAGATGTCGTCACCTGGGGACATCCCGCACTGGGAGGTGATAGCAGTGAGGTCCAGGAGCAACTGCAGAATCTAGGTGGCAGTTTGTCTAGGACATTTTCAGGTGGGTAGGCCGTATAGAGCCCTATATACCCTAAACTCTAAACTCCCCACCTGTAGCTTCCATTACACTTTGGCAGCCTTTGAACTTCCCCATGTGATCCAAAGAGGTAGCCAGCCCCCAGACTTCTGGGGAAAGGGGAGCTCTGAAAAACGAATTTCAACTACTACCCGAAAACTCCATGACGGGAGCCCTAAGCAAAAAAAGCTTAAGCTATAGCCTTCAAGATGAGAGTACGTTTTGGGGGGTATGTGGTGGTATAGTTATAAGCGTAAGTTTACAAAGAACCGTAAAGTAGTAAAGTATTGTATTGCCAATTCTCCAGGCTTCTGTGATACTACCCAGGAATGTTCAGCAGCTGCACGCCACTGGCGAAGCCTTCGCAGCCGTCCTGGAAGATGGCTCTGTGGTGACTCTGGGTTCTTTTTTAGCACCTTACTTTCAGTTGCCACAGCGGGGATCTATAATATAGCTAGGGTATCCTGCCTTATTGCCCCTTAAGCCCTAAACCCCATAGAACCCCATAGAACCCGATAACGCCCGGTACAACCCTCGAAACCCCTAAACCCGAAAACCCTCAACCCTAAAGATTGTTTTCTTTTAACACCCAAAAAAACCTTAAGACGCCCCTCAAGTCTGGTAGCTTAACCCAGGACTTGGGGCAATCCCGACACAGGTGGGCGTGGGTTCGGTTCTGGGTCGAGAAGCTTTAGGGTTTAGGGCTTCAGGGTTGTATGGTTTAGGTTTAGGGCTGTCGGATTTGAGGGTTTAGGCTGTTTTAGGGTTGGGGTTTTGGGGTGGTCTTTTTATTTTTGGTTTCGGGTTTAGGGGTTGTTTAGGGTTTACGGTCTAGGTTTGGCGGTTATAGGATTGATGTTTAAGGCTTTTAGCATTTGGGTGTTGGGGGCAGCTCTACGGTGAGGACTACCAGCAACATAGCTACCATTATAGTTAGCACTGTTATTAGTATTTTTTGTTCATGGTAACAACTGTTATTGCGATTGTTCTGATTCTTCATGAAAATAATCTAGGACATTTTCAGGAGCCTTATAGAAGGTCTATCTTATATATATATATGTATATATATACACACCTTTATAGAAGCCCTATATACCCTAAACTCCCCACCTGTAGTTTCCTTTAAAATAAGTCCTGCTCCAGGCGGCGACAGCGGTTCAGTCCGGCACTCGCTGAAGAACGTTCGCCAGCTTCATGCCTCCGAGCAGCTGGGCTCTTGTTAAGGAGTTCCATATACTTTAAGCTACCATAAATAGGGGTCGGTTATAAATAGCATGGTTTCCTTACGATGGTAACTTAATCTAGAATCCTGAACCCCTAAACCCTTACTTAACCCTAAACCCCATGTAACTCAATGCCTTAACAAAAACCAAGGTTGGCTTTTGCAGCCGAGTTGGCCGATGGGCGGGTTGTCACCTGGGACGGTTCTTGTGATGGGGAGCTGCAGAATGTGCGGACATTACAGGCATCAGGTGGAGCCGCGGCTGATTGAGTAGCAGCAGAAGAACATATTCGGCGGAGGATGCAGTTTATGCGTAGAATCATTATTGTGATTAATGGTTATCATTGGTTTTGAATGTTTGTTATTATGAATGATTGCTCTTAGTTTATTGTTGTTGGTATTCCGATGATGATGATTATGATGATGATGAACAGCTGTAATTATAAATATAAATATCACTCTATCTATATATATATATGTATATATATATACATACATATGCATGTATACACATGTGTATACATGCATATATGCCCTTAGCAATGCGCAGGTTCTCCCAATGGTTGCTTCATTTTCTGACTCAGACGTGAACCCTCAACCCTAAACCCTAAAGCCCCAAATCCCTAACCCTAAACCCTAAAGCCCCAAATCCCTAACCCTAAACCCTAAAGCCCAAATCCCTACCTAACCCTAAACCCTAAGCCCCAAATCCCTACCCCTTATGACCCTTAGGAGTCCTTAGGAGCCTTTGCTGCGGTGCTTGCCACCGGATTCGTCGTCGCTTGGGGGCGCCTCGATTGCGGTGCGGACATCAAAGCCGTGCAGGAGAGGTTGAGGGTTTTGGGATTTAGGGTCTAGGGTTTAGGGAATACTATTTGGGGGCTCCTTCTTATATTTATAGTATAGTATACCCCAAGCCCCTATTCTAATTATTAAGGCCCCTACATTAGGGTTGAGGGTTTTGGGTTTTGCGTTTAGCGCTGTCGGGCCTGGTCACTTCCGAACCTCAAGAGCCCTCATGCTTTGTTGTAAGTCTGATCCCAAGCCTCTATGCCCAAACCTGGTATGAATGAAGTATCTCAGGTACTATGGCCTGCGGAAATCTCCATATAAGACAGAAACCTCCAGGATGATATGCAAGTATGATTTCAGGATGTATGTAGGCTTGCTGGGGACCAGCTTGTCTTAGCCCTAAATCCTAAATCCTAGCCTTCGTCAAGCGCAGATCCCAGGCCCGAAATCCTCAACCGTAACCCAAAAGCTCACGTCGCGAAACTGCCATCCGGCTCTTTTTTGGGCGAGTCCTTATCTGGGTTCTTGCTCAGGAGTGTCTTTTGAGTGACCGGAGTAGGGATTCGGATCTATAGTGAAAGAAATATGAGTATCATTATTGTTACTACTATCAGCATGATTAGTGAAATTCTTCTAGTACGTAGATGTATATACATACATACATACATACATACATACATACATACATATACATACATACATACATACATATATATATATAATCATATATATATATATAGATATAGATATATATAGAGGGAGACAGGTGCCGAACACCATAGCCTCAGACTCGCAGGAGAAGCTCAAGACTGCCCAGCAGCTGCAAGCCACGTACTCCGCCTTCGCTGCCGTTCTCAAGGACGGCTCCGTGGTGGCTCCGACGCGACCCCAGAACCCCTTAAACAAGGACAGTTTAGGGTCTATAGGGCTAGGGGTTCGGGTTAGGAATCTACCCCGGAAATTAGAGAGGGCACTTCAATTACGGGAAAACTGCTTCAGCTAAAGGTCTTGTGGTGTTTGCCCCTCTTGTGCAGCATGAAATCGACTGCTCCCACTGCTACGAAACCCTTAAAGCTCACAACTAGAGTCTAAAGCTTAGAGTCAACATCTGAACGCTAAGGCTGAAAGTCTACACCCCCATGTCTATACTTACTCCATACTCTAGAATCTAGGACATTTCTTTTTTCAGTTGTAGCACGATCTGCA